TGGCCTGCTGAGACCAGTGGTGCAGCACCATGGACAGGAGGCACACGTCAAAGCTCTCAGCAGGCAGCGCTACCAACCGGCGTCCTTGCAGCGCGAACAGAAAATCATCATGATGCTGTGCTAGTTGATAAAGTATGTTGTCGACACTGCTTCAGTCATGTAGGCAACCTCTTGCACGACCTTCCTCTTTGTGTTGTGATGGTCAAGAGCTAGTGTGGGTGAATGCCCTTTTGTGCTCCCTTCCGAGAAGTCCATTGCTAGTTCCACCGTGCCTGCAGTGAGCCTTTCATCGCCACCTCTACTGTTCCGCAGCCATGCCTTCTCGGACAGCCTTTTTGTGTCGAGGCAGCAGCTGCAGCTGAAGGAAATCGCCTGAGTCATTCCACTACATATCGGTGGCTTCATAATGGCTGACGACGCAAATCCAGAAGGACCATCATTGCTGTCGTTGTTGTTGCTGCTGCTGCTGCTGCTGCTGTTGTTGTTGTTGTTGTTGTCGTCGTCGTCCCAAAGCAATGACCCAGGCACACTGCCACACAGAGGCATGGCGTGGACAAACGTCCACTGCAGTAATCCGCCTCAGCCAGCCCAAATCGTGAACTGAATCAAATTTCCAAAAACTTAATCGTTGGGTTGAAACATACAAATGGTGCGAGGCAGGTACAAAAACTAATCACATGAGGAAATCCTTTTGGCGAAGCCCTTTTTGGATTGATGCTCTGCTGTTATCCCGTTACCAGCCATGTGCTCAAGCTTCGGTAGTCAGTGAACTCACTTCCTCGGAAGAAGCTGTGATCTTGGCTGTGGCTGGGGATATGCCGCTCGTGCATCATCTCATCGCAGTTGGCTCATCAGGCTTGGCAGCTCCACTTCGAATATGGTTAAGATGGGTTGTATAAGCTGTAGCGAGCCCATAATCTTCTTTGTGTTTTCGTTCATCCCTCACCGGATAGACCCAACTCTCCCCGGCCTCAGTCCCAAATCCTAAGCCCCACTCGTACATGTAATTCCTGTATATGAGCCCTATCCATCATCCCAGTCTCATCACCCGCACCACCTGCCCCTGGACAAGTTGATGCCACGGCGCAGCTGATCGCGCTCGCTCGCGGATAGCTCTGACTGCAGAGCATTGTTGCAGCTGCCAATATCCAATACATGAAGCACATCGTCTTGGTGAAGGTCCTGTTACTCTTGCCACACGCTTTCATGGCAGAATATGCTGAATTTATCGAGATGGTAGTGAATCTTGCGGTGGGTCGAGCTGTGCAACAATTTCAGAAAGCAGTGCGGATGGAAATCTTGGCAGGGTGGTGGGGGCTGCCCAAGCACAATGATATGAAGGCCGCGACAAAGGGTGCGGAAACTCGCATCCTCGGAACCCTTGAAGTTCGTCCACGCAATACATGCCCCTATTGACGTCCATCCAAAATAGACCTGCACCTACTTGATATGTTGAGCCTTCAACACGCTATACAACTCTCAGAAACTTCCTTGACTGCTCTGACGTGTCGCCAGACAATCTTGGCATGGGCTCCTGCTGCAGCATTGTCTTGCACCAAGACAGGCCCTGGATCACCTCCGCCGATGCAGTGCTTCTTATCTGAATCGGCGAATGAAAGGCCAGGAATGCAGTCCGTGGGCAACAGAACACGACATGCTGTAGCGCCAGCGAATGCTGGCAAGGTGCTAGAATAGGGTTGAGCGTGCAAGGTTGAGGCCTTCCTACGGTTTTGAACTTGAACGATGGCTGAAAGCAGTAGACGTCAAGTACCCATGACACTGATTTCTCGTCCTCAAAAATCGTCGATGAACATCAGCGTAGTTCAGTCATTGCGCGGCAGATGCTTACGACAATTCGGCCAACGAGTCAAAGAAAGCGCATCAGACAAATGTAGCAACCCTTCTCGATTTAGCCTCACAAGGCCGCATAGATCCATGAACACACTCTACTGGGATGCTGTGAAGGAATTTTAGCTAAGGTGCTATATCAAGGAAACCTTGCTATTTTTTTACATACCCATAGTATGGTAAAGTAATTTAAGCTCCTTGACAGCAACCCAGTCTACTACAATCCTTGAAATGACAAGGATTGCTCGGCAGGAGTGCCTGTCACAATTCCTCGAATACGTAGAGTATACTACATACTAATATTCTATAAGCTCAGGACTTCAGCCCAGAAGCCCCGGGCCCCGCGGCTTTCTCCAAGCTTGCATCAGCATACCTGTTGACAAGTTGTTTGCTTGCCTTCACGGCTCCTTGAGGGCAAACCATTTAGACCCAGGTTGCCGGTTTAGTTGATGAAAGCGGATTTTCAATCCTGGCCTTGTACACCTCAATGTTTACACCGGCAGCAAAAAATCCTTAATGATCAGAACCGCTTGTTTGGGTGCTTCTTTATTCACATGCTGCAACATAAAGCACAACTCATAAGAAAATTGTGAGACTCCAACTTCCACAGAAGCGCACGCCCTGCTGCAGTGCTAACCCGGTGAGTGCAGCTGGCAGCTCAACGTGTCAAAGGTCCTGTGTATCCACATGACAATTCTCCAAAGATGGTATGCAAGAGAAGAAGTACCACGTGCTGCCTGTCACGACCCAGCTCGTCCAGCTTGCCAACGTGGCTATCTCTGTGGGCGTCCGAGAAGACCTGTGTTGAAGAATCGGGCGGGTGGCTTTCCTCCCCAAAAATCAAAGCTAAAGGTTGGCACGTGAACATGACCTGAGCCACGCTGAAGACAGCAACCGCGAGCCTTGTGGACTTAGGTTGCAAGAAAGGAGCCCTGTTCCGCTTCAAAATCCGACGTGCAGATTCAGGGTCAACACATCTACTTGAAACCCCTATCTTATGAGTGATGCTTTTCTTGAAGTGCCTGTGCGAGTCGTGTGATAAGAGGGGTGGAAACGAAATGAGAAGCCAACGGAAGACCTCAACAATTCAAAATCTCAGACGGACTAAGGTGCCAATAGACGCCAGAGCTATCGACCCCGAACTATAAGTGCTAAATCCCCAAATTGTGAACCCCCTAACCTGTACATCCCCACCCCTAGTCCCTAACCTGTACATCCCCAACCCTGTTGGGTCATGGGAAATGAGGCTCAATCATGTGCATTGGAGAGATTCTCCACTCTTAGCCCATAACCCCTAACCAGTTCATCCCCACCCCTACACCCGATCTCTAAATTTGGCACCACGGGCCCCTAGTATGGGTCCTTAATCATGCGTAGGACTTTTTTGGTTAGAAGTTAGGATCTTAAATGAACCTCCACCTCCTTCTAATCCCTTTATAACCCTGAATAACCCTACGCCCTCTGCGTCCAACCATGTACACCGCCACCTCTACACCTAAACCCCTAACCAACATAGTAGTTTCTATGTCATTTACATGTTCTTTCCATTTCGTTCTCCGAACTAGCCCCCCCACCAAACTTCCCCAAATCCCTAAACCTTTGTTGTTGCAAATCACTCTCATATCCTAAAAAATACTTGCATGATCCTTATCCTAAACCCCATATCACCATTGTTTCTATATTTGGGTAATGCATACATAGCTTTACTCCTAAACCTTGGGGCATATTAATGGCTAGATAAAACTATATTATGAATATTATCCAACTGTCACAGAGTGGGGGGAATACCCAACCTATAACCCCCTACATATCCCCGGTTTCCATTTGATTATCCATTATTTGGGATAAACCCAGGGGGTTCCCCTTAAGGACTCTGCACGGCTAAACCCTTTGACAAAGCTTTCGCAGGCGCCTCTTGCAAGTGCCGTCGCCTCTGCCTCTGCAGCTGCGCGGAGGCATTGCGCAAGGCAGCAGCGCCGAGGTCCTGCCTCGAAGCAACTATAGGGGCCCCAAAGGGTTACAGAGGGGTTATATTGCAATTCTAAAGGGTTATATAGGGATCATGATACTACGGGGATACATATATATAGGGGTTTATACGGATTTTTGATGGGATTACTTGGGTTGGGGATATGACCCCAGCAATGATGATTATTGCAGTTTAGGGTTTAGGGTTGATGGTCACCTAAGATACAGGTAGTGCTAATCGTTGTCGGAAACTTCATTGCCAAATCCACGGAAGCTATAAAGACAAGGCAAACCAAACACAGCAAGCATCATGCCAGGCATGGGATTTCCTGCAGGCTTGATACTGACAATTGTGCAGATTGCTGGCTGTGTGTGTCTATGTGTCCATATGTTCAATCCACCCGATGAGGCAAGCAACCTTGACCTTGAAGACCTGCTCAGGTGGCAGGAAGGGGTTAGGCAACGCATGGCATAGTAGGCATAAATTTTGGGAAATTGTAAGCCCTGAACCCTAAATAGTAGTTTCCATTTTCTTTTCCATTATCCCTATCTAACCCCTATTGAGGGAATGGTCTTGGAGATCCCTGGAGACTAGGCAGAAGCCGCCAGGCCACCAGCCACTGCGCGTCGAGCGAAGTCTGCCGAGAGATTTCATGTGCCGCAGTTCTGCATCTCCTAGACTTCAAAGAGCCTAATGCTTTGGTACCAGCATGGTGCTTAGTCAGCCCTTCGCAGGCTCCCTCCAATCCAAGATTGTCTGCTCTTGAGTGCTAGGACAGTTGTTTAGGGTGCCAGCACATACAATGGCAATTTTTCAAGGTGCACACCTTGCTCTGGTCGGTAGATCTGCCCTATGAATGTACCGTGCGGTAAGCATGCAGAAGGTGATGCTAGTCTGGCCGCAAGGTTGTTCCAAATCAGCAGCTGGGTTCAAAACGGCAAGCGCGCGAGGCACAAGGAACGAACCATAGGCTTTTCTGCGAATGTCGTGGACTTCGCGGACCTCGCGTCTCAGCGATGCGCGGTATTCAAGGTAGTGCCAATTCTCGCCCAGAAAGAGTATGATGGTCATTGCTATCACGACTGTCTTGCATGGTTTTAGATTGCGACAGAAATGGGATCACATCACTGCCATCGCGACAACACCATTGTTACCAAAGCAGGTTCGTCAATCGGCCATTTTCACCTGCTGGCCAACCGCTCAGGACAGGCAGTGGGTGGCCCTCAGTGTTGAGAACCGTCTTGCTGAGGTCCAGCGGCTGCTTGTCCTCGGGTTTAGGTTGGACAGTGGCTGTGGCATGCTGAGGAAAACAAAGGCAATAGCAAAATCTAACCATACAAGCGCATTATCAACATCAGTCGACTCCAGAAGAAACAGTTGCAAATTGTCCTGGCAGCAGCAGCAGCAGCATCAGCAGCGGCAGCAGAGCTCATCAAATCATAACGTCAATCCGGGTTCCAAAGCAAACGCACGGCGCACATGTGTCCTGTTGTTTGTGGGAGGGAAATACTGCATACTAGGGTTGCCGGGGGGGGGGCGGGGGCTGGTGCTGATGGTTTGTCTAAAGGGACTCTACTGGGAACCCCAAATAGGGAACCCCAAGAATATAGCAGGAATATCATGGAATGTAAGGACCCTGGTAGGTATATTCCTATTATATACCTACTATATTCTTGGGGTT